CCTGCCTGGTAGTAGAGCCCTGCTTCTTTTTCTCCGTGGGTAAGGGGAAAAAGCAAGTGACTAGACTGAATCACGGGGAACTGAAAATGTGCACCGGTGACCTCTGTAGTCACACTGTGCTGTGTCATCTGCCATGTGCAGTCTGTTCCTCCCCTCTAATAGACCCAGAGGGTAGGGAGTTCTTCATAGGTGTGGCACTGTCACCTGAGAAGCTGTCAGCTCTGTCTAGGTTGGTTAGTCTTTATTTCTTTCTTTTTTTTGTCTTTTTGAGACAGGGTCTCTGTGCAGCTCAGGCTGGCCTTGAGCTCACTTTGTAGCCCCAGGCTGGTCTTGAACTCCCAACAATCTTCCCACCTCAGCCTCCTGAGTGCTGGGATTACAGGCATGAGCCACCACTGGCAAGTCTTTATTTCTTTTAATATATTTTTAATGGGAATTTTTGGACATACAAATAAGTAGAGTACAAATCCCCAGCTACAATTCTGGATATTAACAACTGGCTGATCTTGTTTGCACTTTTATCTTTCCTCTGTCTCACTTTTTACCTCGTCTAGGAGCTGTCACCTTCATTTTCACTTATTTATAAATCCATTCCGTTGTGTCTTCTTAGCGGAGAATAGTACTGATTATCTGTCATAGCAAAAATCTTTAAACTGTTGTGGGGTGTAATAGCATATGCCTGTAATCCCAGCCCTCTGGGAGGCCAACAAGACCATTTCTCAAACAAACCAACAAAAAACCAAACATGATGGCCCAACTTTGTAGTCTTAGCACTCAGGAGACTGAGGCAGGATTGCTGCAAGTTGAGGTCCAGCCTGGGCTACATAGTGAGTTCAAGGCAAGTGATGGGATGGAATTTTAGACCCTGTCTCAAAAAACAAAAAAAACAAAAAAAAACCCTTTTTTTTTAAAGGTCTTAGGGATGTAGGTCAGTGCAAAGGTCTGGGTTCAGTGCCCAGTCCTGTAATCCTTTCTACCATAATTTCAGCCAAATGGAACTCATGAATGGTTGGTCCTTGAGCCCTTGCTAGTATCCTGTGTCTCTGCTTCTGCCTTTGCTCCTCTCTGTGTCTGAGTCTAACTTCATCTTTCTTTTTCCCTGTCTTTGGGTTTTTTTTTTTTTTTTTTTTTTTTTTTTGGTCTTTTCCAGACAGGGTCTCGCTGTGTACGTCATGATGACCTGGAGCTCACTTTGTAGCCGAGGCTGGTCTCAAATTTGTGATGATCCTCCTGCCTCAACCTCCCAAGTGCTGGGATCACAGGCATGCACTACCACATCCAGCTCGTTTCTCAGTCTTTCTCAAATCTCATTTGAACTATGTCTTTCCTTGACCTGTATTATGATCCTTATTTTAAGTAATTAACTGGGTTCTTGTCTTCCTTTCTTTGTCCAATTGCAGTATTTATATAAAAGGAAGTCTTCCTGTGGTACTTAGCAATGCTCCATGCAAAGAAGATACTCTGGAAATACATTCTAAATTAACTTGAATTGATGTATGAGATGAATTCATCACATTACCGAGGACCAAGAATATTTTTTCACTTGCATGATTTTTTAAAAGGTTTTAAAGAATACTGATAAAAATAGTCTTTAATTTGAGCCATTATAAAAAGGCAGCTTTTTAAAATGAACTATTTGGGCCGGGATTTAGCTCAGCAGTACAAGCGCCTACCTGGCAAGCACAAGGTCATAAGTTCGATCCCTAGGGCCAAATAAATAAATAAATTTTAAAAGTGAAATATTTTATTCACATATATATCTGGAACCTTTAGGTCTTTTCTTTATGTTAGAACGCACCCAACCTGAAAAACTAAATAGTGTTGGGTCGCTTTTACTGGATAAAAGTAATTCTTCACTATATTGTTAAGTATTCATTGTTTTAAAAATGTTCAGTAAAAGAAATCACCTCCAATTTGAGCCCACCAAGCTTCTTAAAGGAAGTTCATGAGTTCCAGCTGCTTCCAGGGACAGAGTTCACAGTGTACCCTGTGTTTCACATGTTGCTTCATTTATTTTCCTAGCAGTCTGGGCAGAGCAATATAGACTCACCTAGTTATTTTAAATCTGCAAAGAAGTAAACTAAAGTTAAACAAGCCAGAGGAAATATTGTCTGTAGCAGTGAGTCATACAGTCAGATTTTAAGAGCAGGTTAGAAATAAAAAGGCTTTAGGATTGATGTTGCAAAGACAAGTCTGTTTTGCTAAGAGGTGCATGCATTTGGATCTCAGAACAGATTCTTATATCCTGTAGTGCCTGGCAACTAATGGTATCACACTCTGTGCCATGTGTTTCTCAGATTCCTCACTTTTTGCTTTAGTGTTTGTGGTTAGCAGTTAACTTGCTTGTGGAGAAATAGCAGCTTCTGTCTGCATGAGCGTCGCTGTAGCTCTGTGTTCCATCTCTCTTGACCTAAGTAGCACCCTGAGCCTGCATCTTAGGATAGTATGATTTCCTTTGAGCCAGTGCTCCAGCAGAGGCTTTGGAGCACTTAATTATTCATTATCCTTGTCATACTTTGTATCCATTATTCTAGAAGTACAGAGCAATAAACAAGTTAAGGCATAGCTCATGAAGAAGGGGCATCTCTCTAAGATAAAGTATCCCACATGATTCACCATGTTTGAACTTTTGGTTAAGAGGAGGACCAATGCATAAGCCATTGCTGAGGATCTGCTGTTAGGTAAGATCTACAAAAGTATAATCATATTAAGGGGAGATCAAGACCAGCCTTGAGTTTAAAGATGTTAGGTTTCATAAAATGTTTTTTTCTCAGATAAGAAGTCACCTTCTAAGTTCTGGTGAAATCTCTATTATTAAAATCAACCCATTTGTTGTTGTCAGAGTTTACCTGGGAAAATATTTATTATAGGACACATACTTTGTAGAATAATTTTTAACACTCAACTAACTGAAAGAGTCAAATGCAGAAGAGTATAGGAGATCTGTCCACTCACTTGAGACCCAAAGAATCCAACTGAGGGTCTGGATCCCACAGCAGTATCCTGTTCAAGTTCAGCTGACAACCTAGAGCCTATGGCAGTGTCCTCCATGAGTCCAAATGGAAGCCTAGAGCCCATGAAAATTGTCTCATGCAAGTCTCTATCAAGAGAAGGCCCAAAGATCAGTGGTGGAAACTAGAAAGTCTGCTAAGATAGAACAGCTATTTTCCTATCAGGAAAACTAGAGTAACAAGCTTCTTGGGGAGGATCAACAGCCCACCATCTTCTCTCTCAGTTCTCTTTTTATATTCTTGGCAACAGTCCTCAGATGGACCTTCCACACCTACCACCACGTTGATTCAGTTCAGCTGGGTGTTACAAGTTGCCCATTAGTTAATCCACCCCACATCCTTTCAAACTTATTATACAAGTTTTTCCAAAATCAAGAACATCTTTGAGAGGCTTATCATTGACTGTCTGGACTCCCATAGGTTCTTTAGAGTTTGAAGATGGTTGTAAGGTGATTTTTAGTACTTAAAATCCATTTAGTTAATTTGGATCTTTGTATGTAAAATGGTACTTTTTGTGCTCCCTGTAGAGAGGCTGCATGGTGGGTATAAGAGAGTTGGCAGTAGCACTAGGAGGCTTCAGTTTTACTCTCAACTTTGTCAGTAGGGCAGGAGCCCTTGGCAAGTGATGTGGCAACCTCTCTGATGTTGACTTCTCAGCTATAAAATAGGACGGTGCACCTTTGACACAGAGCCACTAAGAGACTGTTGCCCGTGGGAGGTCCCTGGGCTCCCACAGATATTCGGCTCATGTCCAGGCTGCAGTGCCGCCGGAGTCATCCCTTAACACTTAACATTGCTGCTATTCCCACAACTTGGTTCACGCTCCCCCTCCTGAGCTGCAGGCCCACAGATTGAGCTGCCTTCTGAACATCTCCATCCCAGATTCGTCATGTCCGAGCCCAGCATCCTGGTCCCTGTCTGTGTCACTGGATCTGATACATTGTCCAAATGAGAAATGAGAATGATTTTGGACCTCTCTGATCTTCTCACCTGTCCCTCCTGCATTCTGCCTTTGTAACTATCCACACGGACTTTTCCCTCCTGTCGCACCTCATTGCTTCTGCTTTCTTTCTCTGACTTGATGACTGAATAATACCAAACCTGTCTCCCTGGAACTATCTAGCTAGCATTATGTATGCTCATAAAACCAGAGCCATGTGGATGCTGCCAAGGTCTACCATCAGCACTATGTGGACAGAGCAAAAGCCTGCCATCAGCCTGAGCAGTAGACAGACTTTTTGAACAGGGCTGCAGTGGATGACAGAAGAGGGGTGTGAATGAAATTCCAGGATATCAGTTCTTGAGCAGATTGCCTTTTAGGGCTGTCTTCTCAAAATCCTGTAACTTCTCAAAATCCTTGCAACTTTGAACATGTGAGGGTGGGGCCCTGCTGATACTCACGATACCCTGGAGGCATACTTTCTAATGTCCTGACTCAGACTACTTGGCCTCTTTTTTATGCCAATCTTTTCAGCAGCCATGTACACCTCTGTTCCAACTTTATGGACTCTAGCTTTACAGGAGCCTCTTAGGAAATGCAAAACTTTAAAAATCAATCAACTGTGTCTTGTGCTCTTGATTCTCAATATTGAGCTGGCTAATGTCTCTAACAGTACCCATGCCACAGCTTGAATATTGGACTGCCAGAGGACAAATTTTTCTGCCAGAGCAAAACACACATGGCCTGGAGGTGGTGCTTTTTTTCCAGCTGAAACATTCTGAGCCTGGTGTTTATAGTCTGTATTTCTATCAGCATTCTCCTCCTTTGCACTCCAATCACAGTCACTCATCAAATTCAGCCTGCAGCATTGTGGAACAGCTTCTCCAGCAACCCTCTTTAGGCCTTTCTAAATTCCTCCCAGGAGCTAGTTCCTAATACTTCTAAACCACATAATCAGGTGTGGTCCCGTCAATAGCCCCACTTCTCTGATACCAAAATCTGTCCTGGTCACTGTTTTGTTCCTGGGACAGAATACGTGACACTCACAATTTAAGGAGGAGAGGTTTATTTTGGCTCACATTTTAGAAGTTTCAGTCCTTGTATTGTTGGTGGTATGGTGGAAGACCTGGGCAGAGAAAAGCTGTTCACATCCTGACAGTGAGGAAAAGGTTGAGGGAAAAAACAGGGAGGGAGATACACTCTGTAAGATTGTGCCCCAACCAAGTCCCATCTCCAAATGCAAAGTCACCTGTCATGTAACCATATTTAGTTGCTTCCCAAAATCCCTGACTATGAACACCTGAGTTTTTGGAGGGACCTTTAGACATGAGCCATAACAAGGAGGCTGGGAACTTTTATCCTTTCATTTCAGTGATAAATGTATGAATGAATCCCTGTCAGTTACACTTCTCTTAGTCCAGAGAGGCCAGGATAAATCCTTAATCAAGTACCTCGAGATTTGTCTGTTATTTGTCACATTTTGAATCAGTGAAACTGGAGCTCTGTGTAGAAACCATATCACTGTGTATATCGCTGCGATTGAGCTGTGGCATAGTTGCCTTAGAGTCTGATGGACTTGAGCTTTTGTTCGATTCCTCTTTCAACATGTGGCATCTGGCTTCAAACTCCCAGCTCTTACTTGTGCTTCTATTCTGCTGTAGGGAAGGAATGTACTGGTCAAAAACAGGAGCATCAAGTTCTCCTAGTGGTGTCTGTTCTCATGGATTATCAGCAAAACAAGAGTTTATACCTTAAACTTCTGGGAACTTTATTAGCATGAGTCACTGTCTTTGAGTTCAGGCAGTTCTGAGGCCCAGACGAGACCACATTGGCCTCAGAAATTTGTTGAGTTCGTGGAGATAAAGGTAATCCTGTGAGACCTCTGGCAGCTAGTCACTGAGCTTTTTGATGCTCTTTCTTTCTAATTTCTAAAATTTAATAAAAATATAGCCAGGATTTACAAAATGTGTTTAGGAGCTTGAAGAAATGCAGCTCTACTAGACTTGCCCTATAATGCTTTTAAAAAATACAGCTGTTTTCTTCAAAATAACTGTTCATACGATCACAGACAATAAAATCAAACACCCCAGAATAAAACCATTCCAATTAACCAATGAAAACATTATAAGGCTTCAAAACAATAAAATGGGGAATCATGATTACCACAATCTTTTATGTATTCTTACCATTTCTTACACTAGGGAAACTATTCGGTTTTTGAAATCCCATCAAGCTTTTGTTCTTCTGTCTCCATCGGTTTTATCATGTTGTATTTTATTGGATTTTATTATATGTGATAGTATAAACAAAATGTTTTATAGTCAAGGAGATAATACAGAAACCATTGTTCGTTTTCTGTTAGTTGGTTCTATATACCTGTAATACTTTTACCCTCTTGAATGGTTTTGCATTGTCTTGTTATGTTTGATAGTATACGATGGCATACTCAAATATTTCAAGGAGAGAGACACTATGGTAACTACTGTTAATGTCAAGTTATCCTGTGGTGAAACACTATGTTGCTTAAATTATTCTGTTCTGACCTGTGTTGTTATGTCCTCTTTCATCTTAATCCCCCCTTTATATATATATATTTTTTTTTTAAGTAAAAAATAATACAGCTTTGTGCTCACCACACCCGCTCCTTTTCCTTCTGTCGAGACTTCAGTGTAGAAGGACTCAGCTGGGGGTCTCTGGAGGTGTCATTTACTAAGCTTCAGGAGCTCCCCGTCTGCCTCCCTGGCCTAGTGTTCATGGCCTTGGGATGACCTGCTTTTCCTACCCCATCTTTGGAATCTAAATACAAAGTTCACCAAGCCTTCTTGTGAAACCACCTGTATTAGCCCACAGTGATACTAAAAAAATAAAAATGGATGTATCTGTTGCTACACTTAAATGAGCTTAAAGATTCTGTTAAGACTTTCTTGTTGGGAGCTGCTTGTGACATGTGAGCCCAGAACTGGGGAGCCTTACAGAAGCAGGGAAGCATCATCCGGTATTGCTGTGGCTCAGCCCTGGACCCCCAACCCTGACCATGATTTTGGCAGTGGTTGTGCACATCTGTCATAGTTGTTTCTAGGGTACATTCTGAGAATTGCCAGTGTTGCTTAATGAAGTTTAGAGAAACAAGGGGTTAGGTTGGATTTAGGAGCAGCCACTGCAGTGTAATCTAATATAATGTACTAGATTTTGACATTGGGAATCTACGTCTTACTAGGTATACACCCACAACTTTCTGGTTTTTCTTTATCAAGCCCACAGTGACCAACAAAGCCTCCTGTAAGTTGACCTCTGCTACCTCCCAAATTTTTCTGCCTCCTCTTTGGCCTTCATTTACTCTGGACTCCTTTCGTTCCTTAGACCCACCATGCACACCCCTACCCCAGGGTCTCTGCATCAGACTTTACCACTCACCCAACTTACAGAAAGTTGTACCTTCTTCCTTTCAAGGTTCTTCTCAGGTGGCTCCAGTGTCATTGAGTCCTGACATCCCCCAAGGCTTCTGCATTCCCTGCTGCCTCTTGGTGCTTATGAACAGGAAGGACACTGTGTAATGGAACCCGGTTTGCTTGTTTATTTGTTTTGTTGTTGTTGTTGGTCTCTTTTCACTAAAATGGAAGCACTAAGGCAGGAATTTTTCCTCTTTGTTCACTGGTACTGTACATCTCCAGGACCTAAAGTAGTTCCTGGCACATATTAGACAATCAGATACATACACATTTAATGCATGAATCCCACATTTTTTCCTTTAAATGAACTTTACAGAATCATCAAACAACCTTATCATACACATTGGGAAACTGAAGTGCAAAAAATTTCAGTGACTATTTAGAAATGAAACTTAGTTAACCGCCATGACAATTCTACTTTTTTTTAAAAATCTAGAAATATACATTGAACATTCTGTTCAGTTATCCAGAACAGGTCAGCAGAAAGAGTAAATAAACTAGTGACTTAAACATTGAACAAGAAGGGACAAGTCACTGTGATGGCAGACCTTTCTGTCACGTTAGAAGCAGCTGAGTGGTGTTTATCTCCATAGCATACTGTGCACTTTGAAAGTAATCAGAATAGCGGGGCGTGGTAGATCACGCCCTGTGACCCCAGCACTCGGGAGGCTGAGGCAGGAGGATCATTGTAAGCTGGAGACCAGCCTGGGCTACAAAGTGGGCTTGAGGCCAGCCTGAACTGCATAGCGAGACCCTATCTCAAAAAGACAAAAAACAAATTTATATATAAAAAAAGAAAGTAATCAGGGCTCAAGAAAAAACATGCTGCCGTTACGATTTCACCAAAAGCTAGAATGAAAGTGGCAGTTTTTACTTCTTTTGGCAGGTTTGTTAGCTTTTTTACAGTTTTCTTCTCTTACCAAGACTGATACAAACATGTTCAGAATTTAAAGAAAAAGAAAAACTGTGCTGCTGGATTTGGTTGTTATAGACGATTCCTTTTTCTAAAACTCTTCTGTTCCCATCTATGGTTTTTTTTTTTTTTCTCTCCCCAAATAGACATTTGTCCTGGCTTGAAAATTTTTATAGTTACAGATACCAAGATCCTTGTATTTAGTTGCAAATTAAGAGGTTTTTGTTTTGTTGAAATTACTTCTATGAATTACTGAATCAAAGAGATAGCCTGTTTAGGAAAATCTAGAAATAATTTATACGGTTTCTCACATGCATCTACATGGAATGAAGCAAGGAACTAGCATGAGCCCAAATAAACCTCTCTTCAGTTGAGAATGTCAAATATTTTGTCCCAGAGAAAAAGAAAGACATAAGCTAAGTCTCTCCACCCCACCAAAACAAAAACCAAAAAAGACCAATTAAGCTATCAGCCACTCCCAAAGCCAGTTTAATCTGTTTTCTTTCCCTCTTTTATTATTATTGAGTGGAGATTAGATAAAACTGAAAAGAGGCAGGAGCCAAGCCTAGAGTGGGAAGGAAGGGTGATAAGAAAGAAATGAAGGAAGGAAGGTTCTCTGACCAGTTGATAGTGTTCCTAGATAAAGCCCAGGTCTTAGTGCTAGTTTGGAGTCTTTGGGGACTGGAGAATTTGTTAATGCTTGAGGATTGGGGCTGGGTGGACTTCTGACCAGGGACCAACACAATATGTAGATTCTGCTGTGAATCTGGGGTTGCTCCCAAGCTCCCTGCATTCCTGAAATACAGTTGTTTTGGGCTTTTTCATGGAATTTATTAAACCATGGTGCTGCTATAAGATTTAAAACTTTGGAGTAGCTCTGAGTTCCAGTATCCTTTACATAGAGGGACCATTGCCCAACTTCCAAGCAAACCAGTTTTTAGTTGCTGTAACAGTGCTGCTGTTGTTTTCTGTTGACCTGTGGCTTAGTAAAGAGTGCCAAAGGACTTGTGCAATCCCTGGTTCAGACTAAGGTGCTGGAGGACCCTTGGAAAGAAGTAAAGGCAAGTCCCACACTGAAACCCAAGTCGCGCTTCTGTGGCAGCCTTTGGCTTTCAGAGCCAGCTAGGTGACCTCTTGTACCTTCAGGGCAGAAGTCCTTTATCTCGAGAGGCAGTGTGGAGGTAATTAATCAAGGTTCAAAACCTAGCTCTACCTCTTACTAGATGTGTGCCCTTGGGGCAAGTTTTTGCATCTCTCAGAGCTGCAGTTTCCACAACTGTAAATAAAAATAACAACAGGCTTTCCTTTATGGAGCTGTTGTTGCCAGGATTAAAGAAGATGGGGTAAAAAGCTCTGGACACATTCTTGAATTTAGTGAATACTAATTGCTTCCTCCCTCCCTTAATTTTTGTAGGTAGAATTTGTTTCATGCTTCTAATGAAACTAATCTGCTATCTAGTTTCTAAGGAAAATGTGAGACAGACACTGTCGTTCTATATACAGGTCACTTCCTGTAAGAGCCAAATTGGTCTGTATCCATCCTCTGATACTGCAGGAGATTAAGAATAGCAGGAGTCATGTAAGGCTTCCAGTGTTATTCCCCGAGCATTGCTAATCTGTGGAGAAAAGAAATAAATGCACATTTGGGTACAATTTAGCAACTTGTTTTGTAGATAACACTAGACCTTGACTTCTTTGGAATTTTGCATAGAGATAGAGACAGTTCAAAAACTTAAAGCTGGTGAAGAGGTGGGTTCCCCATCTTGCTCAATCCTGCCAGGGTTATCCACTACTTCATATGGGACAGAAATTCTGAAACATCCCACAGCCTCTGTTGAAGTGACCTTCTGTTGATTGACTTTTCCAGGGGGCCAGAACAGTAATTTTTCTGTGGGAGTTGCTGCTGTTTGGGGTAGAAAAGTTAAGTCCTATGGACTGAGGTGCAGGTGATGGAGTATGACCCTTCTAAATATACATCATCAGATGGCCATTCAGTAGAATCATCTGTCTTATTTTCTGAGCTCACAGATTTATAAACTACTTCTACTGAGAAGGTGATATGTTTCTTACACCTTGAATAAGACAGAGTGTTGGCAGTGTTTTCTCTTCCTGGCTGGCCTCTCACTAAGACGGAATTACTGACAAGTTTCTAGCATTTGTGTGTCACTTTATCTTACATAGAGACGCATTTCAGAACCTAGAGCCGCTGTCCCTGCACAGCCTAGGCCACTCTGCTGGAGACATTTTGGTTGTGACTCTCATTTTGGAATGTTCCTTTAGCCTTTTGCTATGTCAAGTACATTGCCCTGTTGCTTCCAGAATTGAGTATGGGTTCCTCACGTGACATGTCACAGCATCCAGCAGTGGTTGTCAGAATGTGTGCTAGAATCACCTGAGAGGTTAAAGGGTGTTGTGATTCCTGTCCCTGCCCCCATCTGTACTGATCAGGAATCTATTTTTGATAGGAAAGATGCTCTGGTAAATCTAATGCAGCTGGCATAGGGCACAAACTATTATAAACAATTCTGGATGTTTCAATATCCTCTACTGGCCTTCCTTCATTTAGTTTCTTTTTCCGTAACTCATGGAGAAGAAAATCGATTGCCCTAGGTGGGTCAGGTACCTTTCCTCTACTGCTAAGTGGCAGCTGCTACAAACATGTGAAATGTGGGGAGAGGCGTGCCACGGAAAGGGGTGCTGAACATAACCTCATTTTCTTCAGTTCTGCGTTGTCTCATGCCTGTTACAGCTATCTGTGTTGCTTTCTGTTGCCCACTATACTGATAACTCTAGGAAGACAAAGACTGCTTCTCAGTAAAGTACCTAGTACAGGCTAAATACTATTTATTGAAACGCAGGGGACGAGAAGCATTTCAAGTTTTAGGTTATTTTGGATTTTGGAATATTTGCTTATATATAATGAAATATCTGTTTTGGAGATGAAACCCAAGTATCAACATGAAATTCATTTATTTTTATATACACTGTATACACATAATATAAGTGTAATTTTATACAGTATTTATAGGGCACCTGTGTTTTACCTGCAAATTATCACATGAAATTAGGTGTTAAAATTTGCACTTATGGTATCATGTTGGCTCTCAAAAAGTTTGGATTTTCGATCATTTTGAATCCGATTTTTGTACTATAGATAGCATATTCTGGACTTTGGATAGAGATGTACAAATACACATTTCTGTTAAAATGCAAACAAAAGTTATACAGTAAAGTAAAATACTCAGTCTTCTTCCCAGCCCTGACTTCTAGGCCTTACCCCTCTGAAGGGAACCCTTTCGTATCCGTAATGAAGTTCAAGTTTTACATAATTTTATAATGTCACTTGAAATGGATTCTTATCTCCTCCGAAGCCGTACATGAGTCCATCTCGGGTGTCTGTTTGTATAAGTCCCACTACCCCCAGTTTTGAAGAGAAAACAAGTGATTTTTTTAAGTAAATAAGAATCATTGTTAAAGACAGCCCAACCCCCAGGTTAAAACTTAGCTTCTTTTTCAGGTGCACATTACCACTGGAAATTATGAAGAACCCGTTCGCACACTTGGCTGAGCCCTTGGATCCTGCACAACCAGAAAAGAAATTCTTTAATTTAAAAAAATTGGAGGATTTAAGATATGGTAGGTATATGATTTCTGTGATGTAATTGCTTTGGTAGCAATGAAAATTAAATTCCAATTCCATAACAATTAAGCTATGTGATTAATTAGCCTTTAGGAGAAATGGAAGAGGGAATAACAAAGAATAGATGAATGTTCTTGTAATAAATACATGGGCATACCACATAAACCACACACACACATACACACCACCCCTTTCGTACACTTGGTTTTTTGGGTAGGTAATGATGATTATGTGCGGGAACATTATATAACACATAGAATATGCCGTGTTCGTATATACATATTTTATGTGAATAGCAACCGTCAGGGTCATGTCTATAAAATAAAAGAAGTCTTCATGATGTTGAGTCCCAGAAAGAGGGACACATGCTCAGATAACATGAATATGAATAACAAGAGGACAAGAATGCAAGTCTTCTTTATTCCTGTTTTCCAAATATTGGCAAACAATTTTCGTATAAAGGTGAAACTTTTATTTTGTAAATAAAATAGGCTTTCTTATAAATTATCAGTGTTTTATCTTAGCAATCAATACTGTTGTGTCCATGCTGCATGGTGTTTAGGATTTTATTTTCTTGGAAATGTGTGTGCCTGTGGGTCTAACTACACTAATTATAAAGCATTATCATTTCTTAAGACTAGTTTTCATAAGAAATACTACTCTTATGCATATGCTAATAAATATATCTATTACCTGGTAACATATTTCAGTAAATAGGTGGATTGACAGTGAGATGTGATGATTCGACTTTCTGCTCTTGGAATTCAAGGCAAGCCAACCATTTAATATGAGAGAAATAAGCTGTATTAGTTTGTTTTCACCTGTATTTTCTACTACCGAATGTCCCTTCAACCTATTCATTACCCTTATAAACTGTCAGTTATTTTGCTTTCTTCATCTGTTGGAAGAATAACCTGATACCTTGTATGTGGTTTATATACATGTTAACTTTAAAGAGATCTCTTAGAATAAGGTGTCTGTTGTTTTCTGTTTTTTTTTTATAATGCTTTCTCCTTTATTCTCAGAGCACTTACCATTTTCTATTAGAGTTCTCCTGGAAGCAGCCATTCGGAACTGTGATGAATTTTTGGTGAAGAAAGATGATGTTGAAAATATTCTAAATTGGAGTGTCATGCAGCATAAGAACGTAGAAGTACCATTTAAACCTGCACGTGTCATTCTGCAAGACTTTACGTGAGCCTAATGTCACTTCTTTTTCTTCTACCTTTTTGTCAGCCTTTCAAGAAAAAAAAAATTTTTTTTTGTTTTAACAAACAGAAAAGCCCTACAGTGATCCGGACAAAAAAGGCTCTTGTCCATGGCAGCAAAAATAAACTGGGATTATCTGAAGTATCCCCACCTTTCCCAGTGTCCAAGTTCACTGTCCTTTATCTTGAGTCTCCTAGTCCTAGGTGAAGGAAATGTCTTGGAGCTATCCTGGAAACTTGCCTGTGAGGGGAAATAATGTATTTCAGAAGGCCCTACTGTTAGGCCTCAGCTCATACCCTGTTAATCATAAGAATCTCTGCCTGTCATTGAGCTATATTCCTGGCCTATTTTTCTATTTTTAAGTAATGTTGTTGTATTCCTTCTAGAGAATATTATTTTTCTAGAGGAAAGTCACACAAATTTTATACTCGTAAAACAAAAAAAGAAAAGATTCACTTACCTCCCGTCAGTCTGATTGCCTACGTGTTGCATTATATCCATCCCTTTCAATTTGGCTGATGTTGAAGGTGTGACCAGCCTGTCTTCTCCAGGGCTTTGTCCACTTACCTTGTGAATCGCAACAGCCATGGTAGGACAGCTGCTCAGGAGCAAATGTGCCAGCTTTCCCAGTTTCTGTCCTTGGTCACTTAGTCCTAGCACTTATTACCTATGTGATTCTGCTGCTCGAAGAAATATGCTTGTGACTTTCACTTTTAAGTCACTTGTTAGCTGCTTTGATGAAATGTTTCCCTGTCAGTATTATTACTGGTGGCAAAAAGTTGCAGATTCCAGTCATATGTGTTTAAGGCTTATTTTTTACTCAGTTCTCTCCTCCTTTTCTCAGGGGTGTGCCAGCCGTGGTTGACTTTGCTGCAATGCGTGATGCAGTGAAGAAGTTAGGAGGCAACCCAGAGAAAATAAACCCCATCTGTCCTGTTGATCTTGTAATTGATCATTCCATCCAGGTCGATTTTAGCAGAAGGTAAAGAGAAATTAAAATGAATTCCTAGGTTTTCTGCAAATCTTGGAATACACATCTTTTTTTTTTTTTTTTTCCCCCAATGTGTATATGTACTTAAAAGAAGAAAATCTTTAAACTCTATCAGGAAAATTCAAACCTAACATAGATTTTCTAATGAATATTTTTTAGAGGAGTGTTTTCTCTAAAAAATTCTTTTTGCTTGTGTGTTTACTTGTTGGGTAGGATTGAAGCCAGCTTGAACTCTGAATGAAAATGCATGCATTTTCTGCAGCAGGAGCATTTTGATACAAGTGCTTGTTTGACTTTGAAAGAGTTAGATTATTTTTTATTGCCCAGAGCATCATTCCTTTTTTGATCCCAAGTAATTGTTTCATGCTTGGCTATCTGTACCTTTCCATGTATGTTTCTAAAATAACTATCCTTTTTTCCCCATTGTTTCTTTTGTTGTTTGGGGTACCCTTTCCTCTCTTGCCACTACTTTGCCGGTCTTTCATGTCCAGTTTAAATCCTCTTCTGTTAAGATTCCCTCACTCTCTACCCTACATCAAGCTCCATTAAGCTTGATTTGCTAGACTAAGTATCTGTGGTAGGTCTGTAGTCCTTGGAGGGAAGGTGTCACTTGAGTTGCCTTGGTAGGTAGACTGTTGGCTCCCCGAAAGCAAGAGAGCTGAACATGTAATAGACACTTAACGCATACTAAACCAGGTCGTCTTAAGCTATCTTTGGCCTCAATGAGAATCTTGATGGCTAAGTTAAGGGGCAAGTGGAAAACCTCAAAATCTCTAAGGACAGATAGGTTTTCCTCATTTTAAAACTTGGCTTCCAAAGGTAGAGGTATTAAAACATCTTAGTAAAGAGAGCCTGTGCAAAGAATAAAATTGAACATTTGAATATATAGTTGTAAACTAGCAACTCAGGCATGATCTCTTAATAAACCTTTATCTACTTCTTAAGCAAATTATATGTAACAATGGTGATCCTGGCTCATTGACGAGATAACGTATAAACTCTGTGAGACTAAGAGTCAAGTAGTAATGGTCAATTTCCCTGACCCAATTTATTTTAATGAACTTTTATCCCTCAATCTCATTCTCTAGAAGCCTTTACTTTAACTTTAAAGTATTGAGAGTAAATAAAAAAGCTTATAAAATATTAAGAAAACTATGCAACACTTGAGTCCAAGTGAAGCAATTCAGTAATGTGATGGAACTTAAAAGAGCACCCAATGAAATTAATTTGAAAAAAGAGAAACTAGGAATTAAACTTGAGGAAGTCAGTCCCCTTTGTCCTTTGCATCAAAATGGCACAGGCAGTTGGGAAGAAAGCAAAGAGCAAACTGCTATTTGCCCTTTCCTACAAAAAGCAGTTTTCACTACCATACCATGAAGACTTCAGGATAAAGATAGGCATAGTGATACACTTGTGTAATCCCAGCACTTTGGTAAACTGAGGCAGAAAGATTGCAAGTTTGAGTTCAGCCTGGGAAACTTAGTGACGTAGCGAGACTCAGTCTGAAAATAAAAAGTACAGAAAAAGAGGAAGGGCATTGGGCCTGAGAATGTAGCTCAGTGGGAATGACTTGGGTTCAAACCCCAATATTGTAAAAACCATGAAAAATACAAATCAGCTAAAGAAAATTATGTATTTCATAATAAAAGGCAATGCAAATGCTACACAGTGAAGTTTTCAATCTTACAAGTAATGAAAATTAAAAATAATTATTTGAGATACCATTTTCTCTTACCAGTATTAAGTTTAGAAAATAGCAGTTAACTATGAAAGTATCATGGGAAAGACAGTTTTATACACTGCTATTAGCACTGTAAATTAGAAATGAGAAAAGTAATACGTAGCAAGACCTTAGATATTTCTATGTCCCTTTCCAAAAATTTCTACTTCCAAGCAAACTTTTAGTAGATGTCTAAAATTCAGAAAAAGATTTGTGGCCATTGATGTTTATTAAAATCATATTTATAAATGAAAACCTAGAAACTTATTAAATGCCCAATAAAGGAAATGATTTACTAAATTATAATAATCCTGAAAGTGAAGTATTGAGGTAGTCTTTTAATTTTATTTATAAAGTACTTAAAAATCTTGGACTAGATTTACATTGTAGCCTAATTTCCAGATACTACATTGTATATCCATTAAGCAATCTCAGCTAAATCTAAAATTATATGGAATTAAAAGATTGAAAAGAGGTGTCAAACTACAAAATAATCATGTGTACCCAGTCCTTATTTTTTACAGTATAAAAAGGTGTTTTTTCAGTATTTACTTATTTATATGTTAATTTATTTATTTTGTGAGAGTATCGTACACTCCAGATCTAGCCACCCTTGAAAAAACCCTGTCCATGACTGTATGAGGCTTTGGGAGACATCCAGACACAAGCCATAACACTGGGCATTGCCAGTCATACCCAGCTAGTTGATTCGCTTTTTTTCAACAGATTCTGAGTTCCAAGCAGGCAGTGATTTTGCTCCTTTATATACCATAGGCTCTCAGTGGATAATTAGTAAAGAAAAGGGTTAGGCAAGAAATAAGAGTGGCTGCGATAGAGATCCAGGGCCAGTCAGATTCAGGTGACAGCTCTGTAATTTCCCAGATGGTGGATGAATTATCTGGCCTTTCTGTATGTGCTACATCAGCAGTTTTTGTAGGTTGAGTTGAGGATAACAGGAG